GTCCCACAATCCTCCATCCGACCTCATCCGATCAAACATTCTACGACAATGAGTGATGACGGGCGATGTACCCACCGCCGATGTCGCCGATGTAGTGGCAGCAGCGAGATCGGTTCGTTTTCCCAATGAAAAATCCCAGCATCCATCTTTGGGCTTCTTTCTGGTTAGGTTTCAACAGGTTATAGGCATAATGTGCAAGAATGCTGAAAATATGCTTTGCTAGTTTTTCACAATAACTCTGCCTTCGCATTTCGACCATAATCAGTCAGAAGGACATTGGACTGGCAAGGACACATGGAAAAATGACTTGTTCCAGGAGCTGCAGTCGATGACAAAAGAGCTTGTCCAGATCCGCGAGCAGTTACTGGAAAAAGATGAGGAAATCGTCGAACTTAAGGCAAGTACTAGGCGGCTAGCCTCTTTCCCGGCATTCATCATGTCATAACTCTTGCTCGCTGCTTCTTATTCTCTACACGCATATGTTTAGGCTGAACGAAACAACACCAGATTGTTACTAGAACATCTGGAGTGCCTTGTATCTAGGCACGAGAGGTCATTACGAGTTACCGTGATGAAGCGACAGGCTCAAAGTCCCGCTGGGGTGAGGGAATCCACGAAATCATTGCATTAATCCCAAAAACAATTCATTCTTCCAGGTTTCATCTGAAGTGGAAGTCTTAAAGGCTTTGAAAAGTCTTTTCGAACACCACAAAGCTCTAGACGAGAAGGTTATTAAATACTTACAGTAAACAATGGACCAAAGTAACCAGTAACATGTTCTAGGTAAGGGAACGCTTGCGAGTTGCTATGGAACGTGTGGCCACCTTAGAGGAAGAGCTCACATCTAAGGGTGAGGAGAATTCGGGTCTAAAGGCTCGGCTTGCAATGGTCGCTGCCGAGGCTGAAGAAGCACAGGTATATTATGACCTTGTTTTCAAAGCATTCGATCCCATATTGGTTTTGTAATTGTTCGTTTGTTATAATTACTAGAAATAACTGCTTTCCGATCTTTATACTGGATCATCCTTATATCTC